ATATATATATATATATATATATATATATACACCATTATATATTTAAAAGAATTCTATGAAACTAATCATTCTAACAAGAATTTAGTCAATAATGCCCTCACCATACCCTCCTTCTCCCATTAAAGTAAATATTACATGAGACGCTCGAATTGAGATTTGATTTACATAAGAGAGCCGTGCTACGAGCAAAGATTTCAAGTCAAATTTTTTTAAGAACTGAATTTGAGCCGACGCCATCTCGACTCAAAATAATCACTAACAGCCTCAGTGATGTTAGAGCTGTGGATTTAACGAATTTAAATTGAAGATCATTAATCGCTTGAAAAAATTATTCGAATTTTCGCTCAAGTCGAGATTGAATTGAAATAAATTAGCTGAGCTTTGAGGAAAAAAAATTTAATCGAATATTTCCTAAAGTTGATTCTAAGCTGACTCCATCTCAACTCGAAATCAAATAATTAACAACCCTACTTAATACTACCATAGCAAAAGAAAATAAGATAAAACTCTAGCGAAATGATTCTAATTCAAAACAAGATACCTCTAATAAAGTCAATTAAACAAAATAAATAGAAATCAGCTAAGAATTTACTCAAAATGACCAAATTTGAGTCTCAAAAGATGGAAAAAATATTGTTATTGTATCTGGATATCGCACGTCCAGACGGCCAACCACGAGACACTACATTGTCATACAAGTGATTTGGCATAATATTTTATCCTAAACATGAACCATCAACAACTTCTGAAAGCCTGGATCAGCAAAGAGAAACCAACGGTTTCCCTCTCCTCCAACCACAGCCTGCTCTCAACCTTCCTCCTCTGCCGGAACAAGAACACGGCATGGCCGACGAAGCCACCAAACCACCAGCCATGCATGTCCCACATCACATCAACCGGCAATCCGTCGACGAAGATGATCTCATTCCCTCGAAAATTCCAGTTCAGTTTCTCCACATGAACCACCTTCTTTCTATCAATGGAAACAAGCAGCTCTGCTTCCTTGCCATCTCTGCATCTCATGCCTATCTCATGAACCTTCCCTGCGTCGCCAAACTTTGCTTTAGTAATGGAGTGTATTGAGCGCCCGGTAACTTGCTCTCTCCTGCACTGTAATGAAAAATCAGCCATTGGGAGCTTCTCGTTGATCGTTTTCAGGAATTCTTCAGTCTGGTCTCCAAGAAGGAGAGCGATCTCGGCGTCGATGATAAGCGCGAGGTAGAAGCCGTCGATGGGTTCGGGGCTTGGTCCGTACCTGGCAATAGAGACGTCAAAAGAGAAATTATTGCGTCCGGAATTTTAACGTAATACAGCATAATTGTACTAGAGGTAGAATCATGTTACTTGTAAAAAAACATCCAAATAAATAATTTGATGTGAAAGCTATAGACTACAACATGTGTCAATTTTTAATTGGGTCCCTGCGTCAGGACTCCAAAGATAATATATTCTCGTCCAAATGGCTCTCTCCTCATGAATAGCTTATCATATTTTTAAATAGTTTGTGTTTAATTCATTTGATAAGTAAACGAATCAGACACGAATAATTTTTTTGTGCTCGATATATAAATGAGCCAAACACGAACAAAGATGTTTGCATTCGGGTTATTTTGATTTGAAATAATTAAGTTTTCTGATTATTTGTAAGAGATCATTTTAATCCCAGAGTTTATAAAAGTGTTAATTCAACACACAAACTCTTTAAATATGGGTTGAAATAATCCACAATGAGAACTATTTTTTTGGGTGCTGAAAATGGCTTTATGTAAATAGTGGACCAATTTGGCACTTCCTCTCTCTCTCTCTCTCTCTCTCTCTATATATATATATATAATTGATTAATATTTTTTTAAATAATATAATAGACTCCAAGACTACACAAATCTATAATCAATTCAAAATATTAATTTAAAAATTAGGATAAAATTATATCAATTTCTATTTGAATGATATTTTAATATAAATAACATTGGAATTTTGCTTCTGTCCTTATATACTACGATTCATTTTTTGCAAGCAGCTCATGTTTGGCTCGTTAAGCAAATAAATTGAAAACGAACAAATTTCTTGAGCTCGATATATTAAAGAGCCAAACATGAGTGAAGCCTGAGCTCGCTCTAGCTCGAATTTTACGCATTCACACCCCTACCTGGCGGCCGAGAAGTCCCATAACAGGGAGATGGAAGAGGAGCTAATGTTGAACGTATGCACGCCTTTCTTCTTCCTCAGGAGCTCAGCTTTGATCGAAGTTGCAGGGCCGTCGTTCACCCCAATGAAGAACTGGTTCGTGGACCAAGTCAGGTTGATTACGACAGATTCGCCGGAGCAGAGCCTGGCCCTGAATATGGAAGTGGTGGCTCTGGCATGAGCAGAGGTATCAGTGACGGCTGATTCGCCGGTGGTTTCGATTGCCTGCTCTCTGAAGCAGGTAGCAAAGTCCTTCATGGCTGAATTGGCTTTGTGCAAGGTTCATGTCAGATTCTATATGGTGGGAGGGAGGAAGAAGACGAAAGGGAGGCATAATCTTTGCCTTGTGGGTATAAACAGAGGAACTCCGCACGCCATTTGGGTTGGTATCCCTCTGGCGGAGGTGACAAGGATGGTATTGCTATGAAGGGACTTAGTGGAGAGTTGGTGGGGGAATCCCCTACTAAATTTTTTTGTGAAAAATGAAATTTTTCAATTTATAATTCTTTAACTTTTGAGTGTTCTGTATGAAAATATAACATTTTAGCATTTGCACGAAGATCTAGCGCATAAATACATAACAAAACTATTAAAAAGATGGGACGCGGAAGATTTACTTGGAAAAAGCGAAAACAAAAAAACTATGGTGCTTAGACCAATCAATGTAATCCACTGTATATTTTACGGTACAGAGTTTCACTCTTTCTTCGAATTAAAAATAATAGATGATGTTATAGAACTTTGACTGAGTTATAAAATTTAGACAACAACATCCACTAGTGTCGTCCCATGCTCTTGAAGTGTGTATACATAGCCTTGGCTTCATTAGTCTTTCTTTTTACTTTCCTCGAATTAAGAGTAATAGATGACGTTATAGAGCTTTGACTAAGTTATTTAGACAACAACATCCACTAGTGTCGTCAAGTGTGTATACATAGCTCTTGACTTCGTTACCCTTTCTTTTCATTTTGTAAATGATATCCTATCTATAGAGTTTTCAAGCGGGTGGTTTAATAAATTTAACAAAATTCTCATAATATTTGTTCAAATTGTTCGTGATTATTCTTTTGATTATAGATCATCTTTTAGAATATGAAATACTTGACAATTTTAAAATTGGGTGATCATAACCTCATTGGATTCTACTCGTCGAGATGTGTTGAGTTAAGAAATACCTTAAATTTTGCCAAAATATTTGTCAAGATTTTTGTAATTTTGTATAAACATTACACCACTCTATATATTTTTTTGTGAATGAGAACCCTCGGGAGAAAAATATGTAGTGGAATTTTCAAGGATAGAGCCACAGTACCAACATCAACGCCACATTGTGATGTTAGTGAAAATTCCATAATAGGATTACCAAGAGCAAGTTAACGTATTACCAAACAAGAGCATCACAATGCTTTAGTGGAGCTCCACAATGCTAACTTTGTAAAGCAACATAGTCACATTGATGATGAAGAAGGGAGCCAAATGGCATAGAGCTCTACACCACAACACTGTTACTTGAGCGCCACAACAGTGCATCTTAAGCGTCGCGAAACCCAACCATGAAGTCAATCAATTTCAAATTTAATTTTTAAGTGGGGTAATGGATGACAGTTGGAGTGTACAATTTGTATATTAATGAGTGAGTAGAGAGTGTATGGCAGTGTCATGTTTGCAAGTGAGTGGTGTATGAGGGTTACTTAACCTAGAAAATAGGGGGAGAGAGTAAGGAAGAGGAGGGGAGCTAGGCCAAGGATTTGGAGAGGATTTCAACAAAGCAAATTGGGAATTGCCTTCAAGGAATCCTGGTGCTTCAATATATTTGTTCTCATTTTGTTTCTTGTATTTTTTTTTAAATGTTAAAAATGTTGTAATAGTTTATTGAAATGAAAGGATTTTCTTGTGCAATGTTTAAAAGCATGTTAGGCTAAGTGTTTTAGCCTTTGGATTTATGGTTTGACAGTGAAATTTTACATGATTAAGAATTTTAGTGTTGAACCTTTAAATTAGTTGTTTATTCTTCTTCCAACTTAAATTAATAAACTATTATAGGTATACACTTATTTAAAATTTATTGCAAATTTCATATATCAACAGTGTCCATATGAACAAAATTAGATTAGTAACTAGTGTTTGATAGAATATAAATATATACACTAAACTCAAGCAATCATATAAGAAGATAGTTCAATCTACTCTAGTATTCCTCAGTACATAGACATGCATATATTACTTTGAAGTATTAGAATTAGAATTTATAGTTATTGGTTGAGAATACAAATTGCTCTTTTTATAAATTCTAATTGATAATTAGCAAATCTTGAGACCAATTTCAATTTGAATATTTACCTTAGTGATCTTAACAAAATCTTAATAAAATTCAATTAATTGAAGAGAAAGTAGAGTTTATGAAATTAGTATTTAGCTTTGTTAATCATAAGTTACATCAACCCACACATTGGATTAAATTTAAACACAATAGTTATACTATTTGGGCCACATATACACTTACTTGAGTTGTGCATATGTTGTATCCAGATGATCAACTTGACTATATGGAACCCAAATTTGGGGTTTGTTTGACCTAATTAATGCTTTAAAGCTTCTTATCATACTTCAAGTGATTAATCTGAGCTCATTAGGACACGTATTAAATTGCTTTCAATATAAATATCTATGCATGCATGCAAGTATGTATGTATATATCTATGTATCTATGTATGTGTCTGTGTGTGTTTGCATCTATAAATATGTATGTATATACATGTACATGCATACATATATTGTTTATACATGTATACATGTGTACGTGTGTAAAGATAAATACATTATATATATATATATATATAGCAAAGATAATATTCTATTGAGATCAAAATAAGGTTACAAGCCTTAGATGAGGGCCATCAAACATGTCCCCTGGAGCAAAAAAGAATGAGAAGATGCATGAGATGTAGCTACTATCACCCTTTGGGACTCTGCTCCACTTTTAGCTAGGTAGTTGGCTGGATATATAATATACATGTATAGAATGATACATATGCATACATATATATCTATATAAATAGATACATATACATACATGTGTACAGTTTTTCTCTATATGTATGTAGAGATAGATACATATAAATATACAGATACAAACATATGCATATATAGAGACACACATACATGCATAAGAAATATAAATACATATACATACAGGTACATACATACATGTGTATATACATAAATACACATATATACATATATATATATATATGTACAAACATATATACATATATACATACACATACATACACATATATACATATATACATACACATACATACACATATATACATATATACATACACATACATACATACATACATACATACATACATACATACATACATATACATAC